GACCCTCCCCATGCGGGAATCGGACCCTCCCCATGCGGGAATCGGACCCTCCCCATGCGGGAATCGGACCCTCCCCATGTGGGAATCGGACCCTCGCCATGCGGGAATCAGACCCTACCCATGCAGGTATCAGACCCTCCTCATGCGGGAATCAGACCCTCCCTATACGGAAATCAGACCCTCCAATGTGCGGATCAGGACCTCCCCATGCGGCTATCAGACCCTCCCCATGCGGCTATCAGACCCTCCCCATGCGGCTATCAGACCCTCCCCATGTGGGAATCAAACCCTCCCCATAGGGGAATCGGACCCTCCCCATGGGGAAACCAGGCCCTCCCCATCCGGGAGTCAGACCCTCCCTATGTGGAAATCAGACCCTTACCATGCGGGAATGAGGCCCTCCCCATGCGGGCATCAGACCCTCCCCATGCGGGAATCAGACCCGGGGTCCAGACAAACCATATAACTCACCATATAATACTTACAACCAATCAACCTTTATTTTTATGACTTAAGACCCTCCCCATGCGGCTATCAGACCCTCCCCATGTGGGAATCAAACCCTCCCCATAGGGGAATCGGACCCTCCCCATGGGGAAACCAGGCCCTCCCCATCCGGGAGTCAGACCCTCCCTATGTGGAAATCAGACCCTTACCATGCGGGAATGAGGCCCTCCCCATGCGGGCATCAGACCCTCCCCATGCGGGAATCAGACCCGGGGTCCAGACAAACCATATAACTCACCATATAATACTTACAACCAATCAACCTTTATTTTTATGACTTAATATCTTTATACAAAAAGACAGATGTTACCAGAAGTTTGGCTTTATATTGTGTGTCTCTTACTTACATCCATGGATTTCTGAGCCCCCCCCCCCACTGTTATATGGTGAGTTCCAACACCTGTAACTGTCACTGGCTGGACAGCTTGGCCTGCATACAGATATGGAGAAAAATATAAATAAAGGAACAGGAATTCCTGATTTATATTACTACAGGTATTACCCCAAACATTTAAACTGATGCCGTGGGCCGTAAGCATATATGTGGCAGCACAGCAGAGGACTTTGATGCTATGCTACAGTCCATATACCCATCGCACTCCTGACCGCTGTCCCATGAAGTTTAGGTGGGTGAAACGGTAGTCGAGGGATGGCCACCGTCTCTATGCACAAGTAAGAATATGGACACCGGCAGTCCAATATTGGAGCGCCGGTGTCCATATTCTTATTTAATGCTATGCTGCCACATATATGGTACAGACGGCGCCGCTGTTCTGTGCTTGGAGCGTGCTCACTCCCCCAGCACTGTCATTTAGCTGCACCGGGCCACTGTGTGACCACGGCCCCTGACATTCAGAGCCCCTTAAAGGAGAACTATGAGGGGAGTGATTTCCACTCACCTCATAGTTCTAGCCGACCTATGACAATGAGACTCTCACAGGTCGGCTCAGTAGATCGGGAGGTCAGCGAACACACACCAGGTTCGCTCACCTCTCGATCCTGTCACGGCTCTCTGCCGTGACAGGGGGAGGGCTGGATTCCCCTCTCCCCGCTCCGATCTGCCAGCGCTGACTGGCGGAACAGACGGGGGAGGGGGCGGGTACAGCTGGCTCTGCCTCTAGATAGGCAGAGCCAGCTGTCACTCACGCAGCTGGG